ATTCGCCTTTGTCACGGTATCGCCATCTTGAAAATGACGTAATGCTTTTTGGCATGAAAACGAGGTCACGCGTGGTTCTTGACACACTGAACACTCGAGCGATCATGCCGAACAAAGATCACTGTTGTGTTCCTAAGTGCAATAACAATAGATCAAAAGTGCAGTCTAATATAACCTTTCATCAATTCCCGAAAGACAAAGACTTAAGAAGACAGTGGATTATAAAAATTAAGCGTGATGTCGGCCGGTCCTTCAAGGTAAATGGCCTTTTATATATCATAGTTCAGTTTAGCGTCGTTTCAGCGTTGTTTATATAGCAAACCTTATATTTTTTCCGATATCTTTCAGATAACCAACAGTACAAGAGTTTGCTCTGATCATTTTAAACCCACAGATATAAAAAAAACGCTAACAGGAAAAAGTGTACTCGTTAATGGTGCTGTACCATCCGTTTTTGAATGGACAACTTTATCAAAGAAACGAAAGTCACCAACGAAACGCGAATGCACAACACGTACTAACACAACCGAGATTGATGTCGTGGATAATATACAGCCAATCTCCTCTACAGGTATTTATTTTTTATGAAATCGTACTTTAGGCCCGCCCTAAATATTTCTAAACATGTTATTTTCTACATTCCCACAGTCGAAATTGGGCCCATCGAAGATTCAAGCGTAGACGAAAATGTCATCGATACTAGCAGCCACATGGAGGACTCCACCGTAACTACTGACACCACAATCATAACACCTACTGTCAACCTACATGATTATTTATTTACTGAACCCGAAAAGCCTGTAGAAGAGCTACTTGAGGCAGCGCAAGCTCGTATCGAACAATTAGAACAGCTGCTTTCAAAACAATCTTTTTACAGACAACTGAAAGGGATGTCAGACAAACGCGTTAGATTCCATACTGGCTTTTCGTCATTTGCTATTTTTGTGAGTACCTTCAATGCCCTTAGACCCACAGCTGAAAGTATGTTTTCATGGTCCCAAGTACAGAGAGCACGAGCAAAAAATGGGAAAGATATAAGTAACATGAGAGACACTCTCAAGACATGCAAACTTAGCTTATTTGATCAGTTTTATTTATGCATTACTAAGCTGAGGCTGGGTACTTTTAATGAGAAACTAGCCAGTGAATTTGATATTTCTATTTCAACTGTGAGTAGAGTTTTTATTTCTTGGGTTAACTTTCTCTATTTTGTTTTGGGAACCATTCCTATATGGCCCTCTCGGGCAAAAATTGACAAACATATGCCTAAGTGTTTTAAATTGTTACATCCTAAATGCTGTGGTATTATTGATGCCTCAGAGATAAAGGTACAAGCACCATCTAGTATGGTTTTGAATAGCAATTGCTATTCATCATATAAGACCCACACAACTTACAAAGGCAATGTTGTAATATCTCCATCTGGGGAAATTATTCATGTAAGTTCTCTTTTTGAAGGAAGTATTTCTGACAAGGAGCTTGTTAAGCAATCAGGTTTGTTGAATTTACTTGAGCCAGGTGATCAAATAATGGCTGATAAAGGATTTGCTATAGAGGATCTATTAAAGCCAATAGGTTGTGGAGTAGCAATGCCTGCCTTTTTGTCAAGTAAGGGTCAATTTTCAAAGAAAGAACTTTCAACCAGTAAACAGATACATAATTTAAGAGTCCATGTGGAAAGGGCCATAAGAAGGGTGAAAGAGTTTCACTATTTTGATAAAGTTATACCTCTTACAGTAGCTGGCAGCATTAATCAAATATGGACAGTGGCATGTCTTATTACCAATTTCCAGGGGCCTTTGTTGCATGAAAAGCAATATATCTAAATATGTATACAATTGTTGTAAAATAGATGGAAGAGTAAGCATCATTTAAAGTAAAGTATGTAAGGATCTGTAATACAAATAGTACTAACAACTTTTAACAACTAAGAGTTAGTTGACATTGAGTGAGGGTACACTACGTATTAGGTCCAACCTAGGTAAGAACTATGCCATCTGTTAACATGTGATGTGGAAGGGTGAATAGTAGGGTGGCCCTATCCCCTAGGGGCACCCTTTTCGTATGTACATGGCATATTGGTTAGGCATTAAAATAAACAGTAAAATCAGTAAAAATTATATTGTTAGTACTATTTTTGTTTTACAGATTCAATGCAAGCTTTCAAACTAGCTTTTTGGAAAAAAAATTATGAATTTAATAACTTTACATTTATTCACAAATTTCATTATTGCCAAATATTATAAAAATGCCCTTTTGGGGTTTAAATACAAAACCTGTTGAAGTCATTCATGTATTTTTATTTATCATGTTTGTACAGAATGTTCTGTTTAATAACAGTAAAAAACTATTAAATGGCTTGAAATACACCCAACTTAGTCACAGTATTTGAATGCATGATAAACAATGAAATATGTACAGCTGTTTGTAAAAATTATGGCGCTTACAATATATTACAGACATATAGGCTTAAATGAAACTGAATTATCATAAGTATTGTATTTTTGGAAAAAATACAAAAACTATTAAATTACCAATCATGAACCCAATGTTTTTAAATTTGTGGCAATAATTTCTGCAAACAGCTGTGTAATGATAATTACTAGAACAAGTTCTGAGTCTAACTAGGTTTGACTTGTAATATTTTAACATTTTAAGAATGCTGATTCAAATGTCTTTACTCCACTTCCCACCAAACTTTGTCACACACAATTAGCTTGTTACTTAGGCACGAAGTTATTTTGTATAAGAGACATACAATAAATTATTGAACACATGTATTCAGGTGATAATCAAAAAAAAATAAATTCAGTTTGTCCAGCATTTCAGAAAAGAGAAGTTCATCAAAATATACTCGTTCACAGTGAAATTCGTCCTTGCAGTAAACAAAGAAATCGCACCACTGACTTCCTGTTAAACCAAGGCATCCCATAACTTGATAATAATACTTGTGTGTCTTCTTCAATGAATATGACCCATTTCGTTCATTAAACTTTAAATACTGAAGGTTATCCAGATGACTTGCTGGAGAGCACTTTATTTCTATCAGGCCCCATGGATGTTGTTCAGTGTCGTCAAACACTCTTCTGTCTGGGCTACAGCCTAGGTGTGGGAGACATGGGTTTATAAGAAAACCTACTAGGTGAGTGTCTCTGCCAAACTGTGTTTTGTACATATCAGCAGCTACCCCCTCATTTTGTATCCCATATTTCATGGCTGCAGTTTGGATTACTTTTCCCTTTAGTAAACGCGTAGAAAGGATTTCATGGTCTTTTCTTCTTGAGCATATATCTTTGAAATTTGAAGCTGTAAGCCTAAACTTCCTTAGTTCATGCCATGCTGTTGTAGTTGACTGTTCCCTTGTCTCCATTTCAAAGTCAATAGACTGTTGACCTGATATTGCAAGGGAGCTGAAGAAAAGGTCTTGTTTTTCATTGAGCACTGTATCTGGATAGCTTAAAGATGGAAAGTTGAATGCAGGTAGCTGTATGTTAATATTGCTCTTAACTTTCAATGGCTGTTGATAGCTTATGACACAGCCTTTTGGCACCTTTCCAAAGGCCGAGTCTACTAAAATTGGAGGCTCACTTTGTTCATCTTCCCATATTCTCATAAATCCAGGTTGATTGTTGAGATTTTCAAACTGTGGCGACAGCACACTAGTCAAGTCAAGGCTACTTAATGATTGCTGGAAGGGTTTGTAGATCGTGCTTGCCACACCACACACCTTTCTCTTCTTTTTAGGTTCATGCAATTTATCTTTTGGCTTTGACTTTTGTATAATCAAATCTGTCACTGGCCTTGCTTTAATGCCCTCTTTACGACTGGGGATATGCCATCTCTGCAAAAAAATAATATACAAATATACTATATGAATTCAAAATTGCTTATTGTGTTATGTTTAAAAACAGCAGTGTGATTAAAAGGAGTTTTTAAGGAAAAATATTGCTAAGATACAGTCAAATCTCTATACATTAATGACTGTTTTTTCTTATTGTTTATCATCAAATCTATTATTATTATTATTAAATTTTACCTGTGCCTTTGATGTTTTAGAAACCATTGGCGGGACACTTTTTAAGCCTAATAGCTGGAAATGGGCAAGAGTATAGAGCAATCCAAGAACATGATGGCAAAGACCTTGTCCAGCAGCACAACTACACATATACTTGTTGATGCTAGCCTCAATAGAGGAGCTCTCGAACACAACAGACAACTTGTGAGGATCTTCGTTCTTTTTCATACTTCTGAAGCATTTAGCCCGAGCCACTACTCCTGAATCCTCTTCCTTGCAAAGTTTTACTGTTAAAAACCGAGAAAAAAGAGTTAAAACTCAAAACACTGAGCACAGAAACAAAACATTGGAAAGACAGTCAAACAAAGAAAGCTACCACGAGGTCAACGAGGCTCACCTTCAATATCGTGAATATATTCTTCGTGAAAGAATTTATATCCTCTTGTTACAGTGGCTTTGATCGGTAGGTTCTTCTCAGCAAAATCCTCAACAAAAGAGTTTGTAACTTTGGGTATTTTTGTTATATTTTTGTGCCAAAATTCGAGTTCAACGCTATCGCTACTAGTCGCCATTTTGTTTGTGAACTTACCACGCGTGGCCTCGACCTCATGTAAAATATTCAATGACGTAATCCAAGATGGCGGGCCGTGACAAAGGCGAATTTGATAC